ATTATTATTATTATTATTATTATTATTATTATTAATTATTACTATAAATTGGAAATGTTTTACACATGTGTGCATTATAATATGATAATTTATTGTTTTGTATTTTAGAGTAAAAGGAATAGAGCAGAAAGAAACAAAACTTATTAATTCATTATTATTATATACATTATGATAATTCTTTATATATATATATATATTATATATATGTGAATGTATATATATTATATATATTATATGGATATGTAAATATATATTATATATATACAGCTTACGTCTGTAACAAGAAATACCGAGATCGTAACATGTGACTATGTTAAAAAAACACTGGGGAATAACTTGATATATCAAGAATCATTGATACATACACATTGTTGACAGATAAACTGTAATAAGAAAGAGAATTTCTTATTAAAAGCGATTTTTACTTTTGGTATACGGCGAAATGGAAATTTTCACTCAATTTATATATTAATATTTCCTTGCCTTTGTTTGCGTTTGATAGGACTTTCCCGTTATGTGATTGTACAATAGTGAACAACGTATGTAATTTTCACAGTATTTTTAATCATTTGCTAAGAATTAGTAAAAATTTTCGGTTTCTCTCCGAATTTGATTCATTATGAGATGCTCTTAAAAAACGAGAAAGAATATTTATTCTTTAAACCTAGATATGTAAGAATTAACTGATCAAGATAGGAACAGAATTAAGATAGAAATCGTACTGTCATTGTTAGTAATTTACAGAGCTCTTTTCATGATTTCAACTGAAGGATATAAGAAATTGGCAGAATTTCAATTGAAAAGAATTATTCTATATTCTAGTTTTTTTAAATTTTGTAGATTATTAGTTTGCTATTTCTAAATGGATAAAACGATATGAATTGTGATTGATCTAAATTCGTGGCAATAAGGATTCCAAATTTTTTAATCTTTTACCAAAAAAATTAGAGAAAATTTAACGTTATATAGATGTATATTTAAAAATTATAATCGAAAAAATCTCGATGCATTATATTAAAAAAAATCTATAAGTAAAAATTTATTTATTCTTTTCTTCTGTAAGATATTTTGGAACGTTTATTGTTTCTAGATCATAATTTAATTAATAACATTTAGGGGCAAAGTAAGAAAGAAAAAAAGGAAGAAATTTATGTTAGCGTCCTTCAGTTTTAATCATCTACAGAAATTACTATAGTACTCTAGAAATTGTAAGGAATGGATCATACTTACTTCAATAATAATATTAAATAATAATATTAAAATATTATTATACATATTTCTATTTTTGCGTGAATGCTTACGATTGTTAGTTGTTGGTTATTGTTATCTATTTGATGAGAGTTTTTAATGTTATGCATACCATGAGAAAAAAAGAAACATCCGATTATTAAACTCCCGATTTTTTTTTAATATTATTGGAGTTGCCATTCATTTCAAATGCCTGGTATATCTAATTGTTTCTTTCTTTCCTTTTTTTTTTTTACAATTTTCTCTAGTGCGATACATTGAAACGCAGGATAAAATTTTTTTGTAGTTATAGCGCTGCAATTTCCACGAATAATTTCTGAAAATAAATTCAAACCAAATGACTTGTATTTATGTTCTACATGCGATATTAAGAAAATCATACTGCAATCGTTCTGTAATGTTAATGTTCTTGATATTTTATAAATCAGGATGTAATGTTCTGTTCCTTTACATTCATATTGAAAAATATACATCTTGACCAAAATTACCTCTGAATGAAACGCGATCTGCGGTCACCTCATATAATTCCTCAATACGTGTAATAATGATAAATAGTAATAATAAAAAGAGATAAGCAAGTGAAAGACCATTGGGATTGGTGGGCGCGAATGAAGCTACCTGTGAATGAAGTTTCATATAAATATATAAATGTTAAAATGATGATATCTATACATACATGCATAATAATATATGAATATATAAACAGAACTCTCTCACAAATAATAATTGAGAACCTCAGTAGCGGTCAGTAGAGTAACAAAGATAATGGCAGAATTTTTAATATCCTATGATTAAATGTATTAAAGATAAGAGATACACGATGAATCTTGGAATGTATCGGAACACGAATCTATCAGATAACAGCATGCTGCATAATGAACTGGTGTACACGAATCGATGAAATTGTGTACACGATTGTAATTATCAATGTAAATTTAATGCTTTTGCCATACTTCTTTGAATTATTATAGAAATCGTACGATGCTCAAATTGTATGTAGTGATGTTTTACTTAGTAACACAATGTCCTAGAATGAATGAATGCGGTGCGTTGTAAACCTTCTGTATGATCATGGAGATATTAAAATAAATGGAGAACAGAATTTTACGTTAAATGAAGTATATATATATATTTTTTTTTCCGTCGATATTGCGAGGAAATGCTTTTTGCTTTCTATGTATCTAATTGTTTAGATTAACAAAAATACGTCCATGCTCTGTATTTTATATCTTTATATTTTTCTTGTACTGAAACGAAGATGAGTAGTATTATTAAAAATTAGAGTTTTGGAATTATATCAGATCACAACATTATTATGGTAGTGTTAAGAACGTTTCGCACGCACCCATTCTGCATAGACCAGTACAAATAAGTATAATATTAATAATAATAACGAATAAACTAAATGTTTGACCTTGCTGAATTGTAAGGTATATCCCACTTAAAAAGTAGTAGGTGTCCTACTAAATACTGTACCTTTGACGAATTAAGCTAAAAAGCCAGAGTACTAAAAAAAAAAGATCCTTCTGTGTGTATAAATGTCAAAAACTTTTATGTATGCTATGTATTAATAACAAATTAACTTATACAACTGCCATTACGATTAACTATTTTTTGGAATATTAGCACGATCTGATATTCTATGTTTTGTCTTTCTTCCTTCAAATTGAAAAATGGATAAAAAAAAAAGAATAATTCTTATGAACTGTCTAAATTATAAATTATGCGCAAGATTTGTAACATTAATACGTTAAACGTCCACGCCGGTTCATACGGACCGGCATTAGACTTTATGTTTATGCCACGTCGATCTATATGGATCCACAATAAATTTTGTCGGTCAAAGCCTTGATTTTTTTATTTGGACATTTGTTAGTTGGCCGTCTCTTGGAAGATATAATATTTTATCAAAAACTGATGTAATTTATTAAAGTAATCAAAACAAAAATGCGGTTTTTCTTTGCATGTATTACAAAAAGTACATCTGTGTTAAATTTTTCGCTAATTTTTTGCCAAATATTTTTGAGTTAATAACGCAACACTCTCTGCAGCATTTTTGAAATACAAAATTGTACTGTGCCTTTTGTGAGACTGACGATTTGTCAGCTGTTCCGGTATTTCTTTACTTTTTTCGTTATTATTAGTTTATGCTTTCACGCATCGAGTATTTCACCAATTTGACCGTATTGAGTGGTGTGAACGAGAAAATCAACGTAACGCGTGGCGTTCAACGTGTTAAGAACATTAATGAACACAATATTCGAAAACATAGTAGCTACAAGTGTATGGAGTAGCTCCCTAATATTCCAATTGAGAGATAATTATTGCATTAATTTAAAGGTATTTGTGAATAACAATTTTAATATAATTTATTGTAACGAGATCAGGCATGTTTCCAGTACATTATTTCAAATTGGGATCACTAATTCATCTTAGTGCTTAGTAACTTATAATACTATGGTTGTGCTCGATAATTAAAGCAATGTCTATATGTGCATATTTATGAACGACGAATGTACGTACATAAACGTTTGATTGTATGTACGTATATTTTTTGGAGTTCAATTTTACTACCTTTAAGCTATAAATGTCATTTTTCGACTTACTCTGAAACGATAATTCGTATATCTGTTAAACGTTCATTTATTAATGTACGTGTATGTAATATGTATATGTTCACGGCTGTGTACATACATACATACATACATATGGATTATTATATTATTAAAATACGCTTTTGTATGTGTAAACATGATACTTTTTCAGGTAATGGCACATGAAAACGTATTTGGAATGTGAAGAGTTCTATATTGGATTGGAAATAACTGTTTTATAACGAACGAGAATAATATATTCTCAAAAAAATATACGTAATAAATGCGATAATAATGATGGATATATTATATAAATATAGAGAGCAAAGAGTGTAAGAGAGAATGCGATAGTGAGATAGCGAAATTGTTAATGGAAGAGACGCGAAGAAGTCATATTCTGAATGTACTTGTAAAACAGTATGGCTAACAGTCCTTCAGCAAAGAAAATATAATGTATGGTCTTGCGCCAACAGATAAATCGTTTATTCTGACTTGTCTAAATATAATATTTTTATGAAACAAAATGGTGATTATTTAATTCATCATATACTTGCAAAAAAATACTATTGAAAATATTACTATTGCGAGAAAATTAATTGAAACAATTATATATAATCAAAATAAGAACACGGTTCATAGGCAGTACTTATGAAAACACCTTTTTATTCGTGGACATTATACAGAGTATGTTTCAGATTTAATTGTTACCCATGGACACTTTTTTTCATATTAACAATAATTAGACGTATATTTTGATATTTTCATCGCTGCAAACTTCTTTCCCCATCTTCCATTTTTGAATCATAAATTAAAGTCTCTAATAAGTGACCAATAAAAATATCGAAGTAAAAAATAATATTATAAACGAAATCAGACACAGGTCAATTGAAGGGAATGTGCATCACATCGTCTTCCCTTCATTTACGCTACACGTACAATTATTAGCTTCTTGTCATCGATTGTTTAAACGAATAAATTAACTGCATTATAAAATGAGATTGGAAGTAAAATCGTGTTTTCCTTTTAACTAAATTTCACAAGCTTTTCAGCGTGTGTACAGTCTTGATTTATCTGGAAAAATGTACAAAAATTAATTTCACTTTTATTACGTATTTAATGTATTTAATATCAAGACTTTATTTATTAGTGTTTGGCTATAATAGACGCTATGTCGAAAAAGCGCACCACAGCGGGAATCTGATCACCACTTTAGTCTTACATGTTCGTGCAATGCCAAATACAAACAAGTAAAGTATAAGGCAAGAATAAACATGTGTATACATACAATTCTGTTTTTGAATATTATTAACACAGTTACACGTATATTAAATGACTACGGATATCAACGAAATACAAGTAGTAAATATAAAACTCACAATTTGTTGAATACCTAAAATTAGTTAAAATTTTTGTTCCTCAAGACCATGTTTAAACAACATGAGTACAGGCACAGATTCACCATCGATCTCACGGTATTCCAATAATGCTACAATACCATCAATATCCATAGATTCGCCAGTGAAAAATTGTAAGTCCTTAAAACGACTTAATATATCTTTCATTACTTTATTTGTGTTTAATTTGAAAACTTCTACTTGATCAGGAGATTGTTTTTCCAATTTCGTTACCAATCTAAGAAAAATTGCTTCATTAATATAACCTTAAACATTACTTCATTATCATAAAAAGGATTACTTACTTTTTCATATAATCCTTCAAGTAGGAGGTATAGGACTTTTTATCTGTAAATGCAAAAGTTTCTTGCAGTCGATGATTCATAACTACATCAACACCAGATTCCACTGCTTCGTCTGTTCCTTCATCAGCTTCTTCAGCAGATGGATTAAACCCAGCAATTTCAATGTCACCTGATTTGCGAGTAATTACCTAATTATTAAAAAGAGAAAGAAAATATGAGCAAGGATACAATGAATATAATATGAATAAATATTCAGATAACATAACTTAAAACTAAGAGAAAACACTGTACCTTGCCATATACTTCATATAAAACGTCATCAATCAACTTTATTTTATAGGTGTCTGAGAACATCTCATCACCTGGAATATAAATTAGAATAAATATAAATTTCAATGTTGCAAAATATGTTCTATAATTATGTAAAATCTTCTATTACTATTTAATTTCACAAATTTTATACAAATTGCAAAATTTTTTAAATAATTATTTTGTGGCAGCCAAAAAATTGACTTAAAATAATGATCTTTCATCTTTGTTAAAATATGTTACACAAATAGTGCAAATTATGTCATTTTTTCGTCGAAATGAGTCATTTCGAACATATGGAGAGGTTATAAATTAGAATATTAGTTATTCGGGCAGTAAAATATTTCTTTAATAGCATAAACATGATAAAAGCATGTTTAACGAAATATTTGTATATTTAAACAGTTAAAACCGCAGTCAAGAAATATTTTATAACTATTAGTATTAAAATTTCGATCCTCGTGATAGAAACGTCACTGCAAACCCGTCTTCAATCAAGCAAATTTTATTTTTCAATATAAAAAAAAAATTTGAAAAATATTCATCACACGCATTTTTTGAAGATATTCTAGATTTACATACCGGTGAAAATATCTTTATAGATCTTCATGCTGGAAGATGGAGAAAGATTTGATTGCAGCTAAACTAAATAAGACTCAGTCACCCTGAAAGAGCGAACCGGAAGGGAGTAAAGTACTAGAGGATGTAGCCAACTTTATTACTTTCACTTTTTATCTGTTTGCCAACATAAGGATCTAAAATCATTATATTCTGGGATAAAACATTTCCATTATTTTATATAATAATATAAAAATACAATAATGTAGATGTTACACATATTATATTTAAAAAATTATACGATAAAAATTTTCATTAAAAATAAAGTAACAAAATAATGGCAACTTATTATAGGGGAAAAATATGGGTTTAATAAAATCACGCCAATTTTAATGAAAATTTTATTTTCAGTTCCGGTTAAATTATATCAGATATTTTAGAAAAATTATCCTTATATGTATCTTTGATTTTTAATTTATACTTAAAAAAAGTATTATATATGGCAATTATAAATAGAATTTCTTATGATGAATTTATACTTAAAAAAAGTATACATATACATGGCAATTTTAAATAAAATTTTTTATGATATAATTATTTCTCCTATTTATCAAATATATACGATTATTAAATCAATTTGTTGAATTAGTTAAGGATAAGGTAATAAAAAGTTTAAGATTATGTTATTTGTTCACTTGCGCAGCCATGTTCAAATTTCATATTGATGCAATTATTACCTTCATTCTGATTTCCGGTTTCCGAGTGAACGGAGCACGTTTGTGTCATGCTGCTTTGAGTACGATTTTACGAAGAAATTAGTTTCTTTTTACGTTTTAAAAAAAGTTTCGGAATTTCGAATCTCATTGAAACGCGTATAAAAAGCGGCGAAGATGGAAAACGGACAAGAAAAGAATAATGTTGAAACTGCGACAAACGGTCCTACCGAGGTTAAAAACGAGATGCCGGTTTCTACCGAGGAAAATGCCGCCAAACAAACTTCCGAAGAACCATCCAGCGAACTCTTGGAAAAGATAAAAAGACAAGTTGAGGTAATATTTAATCAATTAGCCAATTATTGTGAAAGTAAAACGGTCATTTTTTTGTATACTTTGTTTCAAGTAAATTTGCAAATATATGTATGTAGATTTAGATATTGTTTCAATGTGTTCATAGTTTTCATATAATATGTCAATGGCGATATTACTATTCAATTCATGAAAATTTTGGTATTCTCAGTATTATTTTGGAGATGTGAATATGCAGAGAGACAAATTTCTCATTGAACAAACAAAGTTAGATGAAGGATGGATTCCTATGACTATTATGTTGAAATTTAAAATGTTGGCCTCTATGAGTCAAGATGTTGATGTTATACTAAAAGCCTTGGAATCAAGCGAACTTATGGAAATATCCGAAGATAAGAAAAAGATTCGTCGTTCTCCAAAGCATCCTTTGCCGGTATATAACGCAGAATACAGAAAGGCACAGGAAGCTAGAACAGTATATGCAAAAGGATTTCCTTTACAAGACACTACTATTGAAAAACTTACAACATTTTTCAATGCTTATGAACCAGTTGAAAATGTCGTTGTAAGTATCCGATTTTTGCTTAATGGATGTGATATTTTACGATATCGATTAGGTTGGAGAAAATTTTTAGACTGTTTTTTTATTTGATAGATGAGAAAGTATCAAGATAAAGAGAAAGAGTTCCATTTTAAAGGTTCTATTTTCATACAGTTTAAAACTCTAGAAGATGCAAAAGCCTTTATGGATAGGGAATCTGTAAAATATGGAGATACTGAATTGGTTAGGAAGTGGTCGTAAGTTAATCAGATTAGATATAATATTTACCTATTATAAATATTCCAGTGTTTTTCTTGTAACTGGCAGATAAAAAGAGTTATGTTTCTTTTATAATCAACATAATTCTAATTTTTTACATTTGTGACATTCAAAAAATGGAAGTGATCTTCAATTTTTTAAATAGAATGATATACATTTTTTTTTATATCATTTGAATATGTCAGATGGTTAGGAACGAATGAAATTAATTGAATGTTTTCTGATGTTATATTCATAATATGTTAGTGTTAAGGCTGCATATCATATTTAATATAATTTCCACTTATTAAATATTTATATTCTCCGTAATACAAATGTATACTTTTAGTTTCAATATTCTTGTACAAAATGGTGAGGAATGTCTTCTTTGATACAATTTAATTATTTGATTTTTGAAATTTAAATATTTAGTCGCGATGTATCGCGATGTCATTTTTTTCATAGAAAAAAAGGTTGACAAGTATTTTTACAAGAGCTATGAAACGCGAGGTAAAATAATTTACAAAAAAAGCAAACATTCGTCACTTTTTTATGCAAAAATGCTAAAACTATTTAACTAGAATAGGTATACATTTGTATTATGGAAAACATAAACGTTGAGACAGTAAATGAAAATCATATTGAACATAATGTTTTAGTGTAGTCTTATCAATATAATATAATGTTAGATTTAATTTACTTAATATAATGAACCATTTAATTTACTTTATTCTTGCTATATATATTTTCAAGTTACATAAAAGAATCTATAGCATTCCATTTAAAAAATTGACAAAGTAAACATGAAAATTTGAAGTATATCATGTTGGTTATGAAAAACATTACAGTTTTTTCTTTTTTCATTGTTTTTGTCTGTAACAGAAACACTGGTCTATAATATTACGAACATGCTGTATATTTTTATTATAAAAGTTATAATGATCTGCACAACTAAAAATCTATGATTTAATATTGTAATATAATTATTTGAAATTTTAGGGCTGACCATAGTGCAGAGAAAGCAAAGGAAAAGGAAGATAGAAAACAAAAGAAATTAGAAATGAAAATAAAGAAAAACGTTAGTATATTTTATTTCCTACATTTATTTTAATAATTAAACATAGCAACAAAGTGTTTAATTTTTTAGTTGAAAGAAGAATGTAACAATAGTGACGAAGAAGAAGAAAGTGATAAGATTACTCTATTACCAAAGGGTTGTGTAATTCATTTTTCTGACGTACCTAATGAATGTTCAAGGGAGAATATTAAGGAACGTTTAGGTCAACTTGGTGCAAATGTTGCGTTTGTTGATTTTAAAATAGGTGATAAGGAAGGATGGGTTCGACTGCAAGGAGAGAACACTGCAAAGACTGTAATTGACAAAATGAATGAAAACAAAGTGAGTATTTTCCATTATTTTTTAATTCTTAATATTGTTTTATCTTATGAATTTTTTTTTCTTTTTTATAAGATAATAATAAACGGTAAAGATGTTACATGTCGCGTCTTGGAGAGCGATGAAGAAGAAAAATATCTCATAAAGGTAAAAGAACAGATGGCAAATAGTAGGCAAAAATTTACCAAAGGGAAAAAAGGCAAAAAAGGTTAGTAGAATGGAAGATTTAGAAATAATTTTTTTAGTAGTATTATCTACATAATGATGCTTTGCCATGCTAATACTGAGAAATCAGTTTTCTGGATCTCGATGAGTTAAATTCACAGATATAACTGAATTTTTTATTATGATTGTAAATTTTACGTATAAATAACACAAAATATATATTAAGTTTGTAAAAATTACGTTGTAGGTCGCATCACACGAGGACAAAGGAAAAGACATAGCAATGATGGTGCTGATATAATTCCCACTAAAAAGGGAGCTGCTGAATAGTTTAGAAAAGTTATTTAATTTCGAAAAAATAAAACTGTTCTATACCCTGCTACACATGTATATTAATCATATTTTTATTATACACATACTTATGTATAAACTATGAAGATAGACGTTACATTACTATGTATTCAAAATAGGTAAATTTACTTTAAGAGTATATTTCTTGATACTCTATCGAGCGGTGTGTATAATTTGAAAAGATAAAAGTACATCACCGTTTATATTTGTAAATTGTACATTATTTTGTAGTCCCACATGTAACTTAATATATTCAATTATTTTACAGTGAAATTTATAAAGATGTTTCCATTATTTAAATTTGTTATACGCTCAATAATAGCATTTACGATTCGTTTTATTCGCAAAGAATATTTGACGAATCTTTATTTTATTTTATTTTATTTTATTTTTTTCTTAATAAAACGATGTATTAAAAATGATTGAAATCGATAGTATGCTACGCCGTGCATAGTATGATTGTTATTTATAATACCGCGTTCTTGATCATACTGATATGCTTCATGTATATGTTGATATGAAGAAAATGCGTAGTCAACTGTATTAAACAGGTGTTTCTATCCAATCAGAAATAATGAAAGAATATTTTAACGTAACGACTATACCGTCATAGTAGCATGATCTATTTATCTGTAAAGTACATCAAAAGGAGAACGACTTAAAAGGGACTTATATAGCCATTTTCAAATTTTATAATGATGGAATTATTTTAATTTCTATTTCCGGTTTCGGAAAAACAGATTATAGTTTTCCTTTTTTGTTTATTTATTCAGTTTTTTTTGTTTCTTGTTTCATTTATTTGTCGCACTAATATCCAGAATTAGCTATTTGAAGTACAATTTCGAAGAAAGTTTGAATTTCATAAATACGTTGTATAAGAGGCGGCAAAAATGGAAAACACTCAAGAGAAAGTTGAAACGCGAGGTTAAAAACGGTCACTGTACGTAAAACAAACTTCTGCAGAACCATTTAGGGAACTCTAAGATAAGAAAACAAATCGAAGTAATATCTTATTAATAAAATGTATTATAAAAATAATATGACTTAATATGATTGTAATTTTTCAGTTTTACTTCGGTGATGTGAGCGTGTGAAATGATCAATTTCTCATTAGGCAAACAAAGCTGGACAATGGATGGATTTCTATGATTACTACGTTAAGATTTAAAATGTTGGTTTCTATAAATCGAAATGTTGATGTTATATTAAAAGCTTTAGAATCAAGTAATCTTATGAAAGTATCAGAAGTTAGAAAAAAGATTCGTCGTTCTCCATTTTATTTTTTGCCATGATGTAATGCAGAATATAAGAAAGCAAAAGAAGCCAAGACAATTCATTCAACAATTCATCAAACAATTCATTCCTTTTGTCGATTCTACCATTGATAAACTTTTAATATTTTTTAAGCTTTTTCGACGTTAAGGAACCATTTGAAAGTCCCAGATCGGTATCTAACGCAGGAAGGAAGGAATATAGCTTCTTTATGTCTGTAGTTGGAACCACGTGCGTTGCGATAGCCGCCATGATGTCTATTGTAGTCATTGTCGTGTATTAGAAATCAAATTTTTATCCTTAGGCGGATGTTGTACGTATCAATGCATGTTTTGAATTGCATACACAACGTGAACATAACGTGACAGATTGATGAATTAAACTATAAACATAACTGAATCTTTTATGAATGCAAATTTTACAATTAAGAACAAACATTTTAAATTTGTAAAAATTGTCATAGATCATAACATATAAGGACAAAGGGGCGTAATAATGATAATAAAGGTACTGTTTCTGCTAAAAAGAAGATTGCCAAATTGCGAATAACTCAAAATTGTTGTCGGTATGTCCTCGGCTATATATATATTATATTATATATATTATACTACTATATATATTATATATATATTAATTATATTTTTATTATACAGATATTTATGTAGAAAATATGAAGAGATGTCAAATTACTATATAGGCAAAATTATTTTAAACGCATGTTTCTTGTTTTTGAGCAATGTGTGTTACTTGAAAAGATAAAAGTACAATTCCGCTGATATTTGTACGTTATGTTTTAGTCCCTTGTATAACATAATACATTCGGTTATAAGGATATGAATAATTATAGTAATCGAAGGTGGAGATGTATTTAGAAATCAGCATTTTATTGTTTTACAGTGAAATTTATAAAGATGTTTCTATTCTACTACTTAAATTTCACTGTTACATACTCAATAATCCCGTTCACACAGTTTAACGGACAGTCAAAATATGCTGAC